TAATAACTGTAACTGTGTAGTTTTCTTAGTTTTTTCCATTAATGCTCACAATCAGAGTAGAAAATAGGCGAGATTAACTCAAAATAGTGGAGGTAAAAGGTAGAAACACTAAAAGGGCAATGAGGGGTAAGTATTGGGTGATGATGAGAAACACAGACATGACTGACATAAGGGTCAGACTAGGAAGAAAATGAAGTGAAGCCAAGAGAGGGTATTATAACTAAGAACTTTTAGAAGGGCCCAGGAAGACTTGATGAGGTTGAAGAGCAGGTACAAGGGAAGAAAAAGTGGGCGTGGGGTGGGGACTGAATGTCATCATCCGAGGGTAGTATTTCTGAACTTAAAATTTTAGAAATTGATGTATTTAAGGTGTGGCCATGGGCCTGAAGCTGAGGACAATGGAAAATGTGAGGTCAAGGAATTATGAGACTAGACTGTTATCTGGCAATCTTCATAGATACTGAAGTCTCCAGAGAACGGAAAGATTAAAAATGAACAGTAGGAAAGAGCCAGGTGCCAAAAATTTCCATGAAGGTGTAGACAGCAGAGACAAGAAAGAAATGTTGGAATGGTGTATGTTTCAATAAAGGATTGTTTAAAATAAGAGTAGAAGAGACATGTCCTAGTGTTTTGGAAGTTAAAAAAAATGGAACTAGGAGAGTTTCAGCCATAATTTTAAGCCCTTACATGTGGAGGAGTAATAAGATTAATGAAGTGGGGAGAGGTAGAGGTTAAGGATTAATTCATCTTCATTTGTCAGGAAGTTGGAAAACTTCTGTAGGAGAAATCCAAGTAGGAAAAATCCAGGTTTTGCTTAAAGCAAGGAGGTAGAGGAAGTGTTCTGTGAAAAATGTGAGGGTCCCTACTTTCTAGTACATTGCTGACAAAAAAAAATTTTCTGCAGTGATGGATATGGTCTATATCTGACTGTCCAATAGGTAGTCACTAGCCACATGTGGCTGAAATGTGGTCTGTGAGACTAAGGGACTGAATTTACAATTTTATTTAATTTCAATTAATTTAAATTTAAATAGCCACATGTGGCTGGTGGCTGTTGTATGGGACAGTGCAGTTCTAAAGTCTTTCTGATAGCAGTCAATAAATTTATGCATAGTTATTAATAGGTAATGATAACAGGTTACCCCTCTAAGTGGATATTTGTATTTAAAGGAGACAATGACTAAGATTGAAGAAGGAAATTCCTGAATGTAGAATTTTAAGTGCTGTGGAACAGCATGAAGGCTACTAGTTTGGGAGTCAAAAGGCTTTTCTAGTGCTTTTCAAATTAGACTACGTAAGTGGTCATCTACGAATAAAGTTAGCCGTATTAACAAGATTAACTTTATCAAATGCCAACTACATGTACAGTGTTGTAATAAGCAAGTATCTTAGTAAACAGCAGATGGCACAGTCTTAACCACAGCTGAAGGGAGGAAGGGATAAATAGGGTGAAGTAGAGATGTTGGATACAGGGAGACAAAACATAATTAAGACTCCAGCTCATGTGTATCTTATTTGAAATCCTGCTTTCACTATATCATTTGTGCAGTAAAATTTCAGAAGTGACTGCCAAAGAGTTGCTGCATGTGAGCACGACTATAAAATGTGCTGGCAACTGGCTAAATGATGGTGCAGCTTAACTTCTTGGTTGGTTTCAATGTTATTTGTCTAAAATGGTGATTACTAGGCTGTTTTGCAGCAATGGTCTCAGTATATGAGGAAGCTGTAAAATGGTTTGAAGAAAGGCAGAGGTAGAGTGATCCACTGACGGAACACTCATTAATCTGGTGATTGGTGGTTTCTAAGATTAAATAGTATACAAGTTTTAGATAAAATAACATAGGTATCTTGGAACAGTGACAAATTAATAATAATAATAAAAACATCGCTTTGTGCAATAATTTAAATTTTTTTAAATGCTTAATATCCATGTGTTTCACATCACATGGGGTTAATATACTATTATATTATTATATAACATTAATATATGTTATATTTAAATAATATGTTATTAGCCAGACTATGGTCAAGTTTTCTTAGTTTGCTCATGGCTATCCATCCATTAGTGGGACATAATTTATTATTTCTTATGTTAAATCACGAAGCTTTACCAGATGCTCTACTAAAATAATCTCAATACAAGTACGATACATTGTCATTTTGTGAGGTATTCCACTGCTCTAAAGGGAAGGTGCTGAAAGATTCTTTAGTGATACCAGCCAAATAGTCTGGAGCTTCTGGAGCCATTATAACTTAGCAACAGTCACCTTCTTCAATCTCAGGCCTTGAACAATTTAATAAGAGTAGCTGAGGATACTTAATATTGGTTACTGGTAATCTTTTCCTCAAATTTTGTTTTAATTTGTGTGTTTCCTTTAGCTGGAGAGTAATAAGATTTACCTGAAGGATGTAAGTGGAACAGTAAAATAATTGGGGTTTGATGCAGACTTCAGGTTATTATTTAGGTTTATTTATTTACCAGTAAGTGCAGAAATATTCCTACATAATTAAGTACCAAATGGTAGTGATAATCCTACAAATCTAATATGATTTTAAAATTCATTTTCCAGAGAAGAAATCTACCATCTGTAAACCTCTGTGGGTGAGATGCCCATGTTGCTTAAGTCCTTAATGGATTAGCCCAACATTATATCAGAGATGTTAATTTTTTTAGATTTTACTTTTATTACTAAAGAAATAAACATATACTTCTCATGTAGCTTTGAAAGCACAAAGAAAGATTTCTTACACCAGTGCCTTAAATTAATCTACAAGAATACCTTGAGAAATAAAAGGGAAAAATCCAATGGAACCAATAAAATAGGAATAGCTTCCTCTTCAGAGGCTGGCTGTGAAGGCCATGTGAAATAATGTATATATGTAATGCTCTCAGCTCCATGCCTAGCATCCAGTAGGGTTGCAAAAATGTCAGTTCTCACCTCTCTTCCCATGAATTCATACTGCACCAAAGCCTGTCATGTTATTATCTGAAAAAGTCATCACCGTCATCCATGACAACTCTAGATATAGACCTCTCAAGAAAGCACAGAAAAGGTTAATAACCTTCTCTAGATTATGCAGATAGAAAAGCACTGTCAGTGTTGGCTTAAGCATCCCAGATCCTACCTTGACATTGCAATCACAAGCCTTATCCACCTTCCGAATCTCAGGACTTGCGTTGGGCTTGTTGCTGTAGATGATAAAAGCTATTAGGAAAAAAAATAGTGTGGACGAAACAAATAAATATTTTATTTCCTTCCAGGAAGACCAGAAGAACATATTTAGGGAATGAGAAGTATAGTTAAATATTCTATAACCTACCTCCCCCAAATATAGAAAGATTATGTAATTCCCCCCACCCATGGTGGTGAGGTAGATGGCTCTTAAAGATCAAAGTATCATGGTGCAAAGAAATTATACTTTTCTGAAAAGATGGTATTCAGTGTGACTTAAATACTGCAAAAGAAATGGCAGTGGTCATGGTAGAAATCATTTTTTCTGTGGGGCATGTCAATTGGCCTTTTTCATTATGTCTACACATACATAGTCAACTACAGAAACACTCGGTTTCTACTGTGTTCATATTTTGATTGTCAGAATGGCTGCTATGTAGATAAACTTCTTAACTCCAGAACAGAGATGTCCTTTGCACCACTGTGTGTGTGAGGTCACAAATATCTGCAAACTGGGGAACTCAGAGGTTTCTTACTGCGCAGCATCTCCAACAACCCCAATCATTTTAGCTCAATGCTATTTCCCTCTAGAGCGAGGTTCCCTCGGTTAGCCTGCCGAAAATGTATGTGGTGAGGGGTATGTGCACTTAGCGGCTCAGCAATCAGAGTCTTCCTTGGATGGGACTTGTGATGGTAAATATTAATGAAGAAGCAGTGTTACTGGCAGTGATTCTTGACCAAATCAGATATTCTCTAAGTACCAAATGTCTCCCACTGAATTTGAGTGGAGGAGCGCTGTCGCTTAAAAGGTGTCTCAGACACAATACAAAACGTTTGTCACCTCAGGTCGCATATTACCCAACAGGAAGCAAAAAGCAAAGGGCACGGCGCACTAAAGAAACAGACACACAGACACGTTTTGCAATGACGAACTTTATGTGGCATCAGGAATGGCAACCTGTTCTCATGTTTAGCAATTCCAAGGTACGCTGTTAAGATTGCTTGTCAGGTTAAATTGAGTAAAGGAACAGGAATACGAGGGAGCGCTGGAGACTTCTCGGCAATCCTTTTCAAAATATAAAACTGTCACCAAGTGACTTAGGTAAGCTAATAAAAAAAGGCTCGCTGTATGCCCTTATACTCTCCTCTTAAAGTTACGTGATCATCAACAGCGCTGTTCAAATTCAGCCAACAGCTGTTAGACCAAGACACAGATCCGCAGTGTTTTATCTCCCCTGAGTTACCGGTGTTCACTGAGACTCTCCGAAAATTAGGGTCGGTTTTCAATGTGAACTTAATAGCGGATCCTTCGCCCCCCCCCTCTGCTCCCACTGTCCCAAGCCTTGAGCCCCCTCCCACTTGCCCGATATCAGATTTCTTAAAGACGTAGTCGTCTATACCCCCAATTCAGCTGCACCTTCTGCAGCCCAAGCCTTTACCCAGAGACACCCACATTCTGTCTCCCTCTCTTCTCCCTCTCACCTCACTTCTTGAGACCCCACGCCCGCCTTCGGTTACTCCCTCGGCTTCCCGGCGCCGCGTTCAGGAGGCCTGCGCCTCTGCCCGGCGCCTTCCCATTTCGAGTCCCCCCTTCCCAACCTCCTTCGAGACTCATGTGCCCCTCCCGTGGAACGCAAGCTCCTCTTTCCTCCCCAAGACCCCAGTTCTTCGGCGATCTGCGCGTTCAGAGTCCCTTCCACTCTCCCGCCCGGGTCAGTGCGGTCTTGCAACTGCAACCATCCGGGATCTGTCCCCGCTCCCCCCCCCCCCCCCCTGCCTAAACCGTTAGGGTCCTGGCTAGCAATGCCGCCCGGGGCTCCAACTTACCACAAGCGTCCGGGAGGAAGGCAAGGCAGCGGTCGCCGCGGCGGCAGCTAGACGAGAAACGGACTCGGCTGCAATCGCCCAGCGGAGCCCGCGGCAGTCGGTGCGCTGCGCTGCGCTGCGCGCCGCAATGTCGCGCCGCGGCGGAGTGAGGGACGGAGGGAGCTCGGCGCGATGGCAAGCGCCGGCGAGTCGACCTCCTCTGGGCGACCGTGCGACCCCGGATAGGTTTGGCTTCTCTTGCTCCACTATCTTACTCTAGCATAGTAACTGACCACCTCCAGCATCTCTGCACTATTCGCGTCTTCTTTCTTCTTCGGTGGCCCCTAACTAGCTACACTATTCTAAACGGACGAAGGCCATCACGCGAGCACCACGACGATCTCGACGACAACGGTGTGCAAGAAGAGGTAAGAAAAGTTCATATGCAATCGCAGGTAAGGGGCAGGCAGGCCGATGGAGCAGCCAGGGCTGGCAATCTAGCTGCTCCAATGGCAGGATCAGAAAGATCGGTGCACCCGAGGAGTGAAGCGTCCTCGGCAAGCACCAGAGCGCCTACCCCGAGCCGGTGAAGCTGCACCCCGCTCTTGGGCTGAACAAGGGATGAGGGGTGGAGCCAAGAGTGGCCAATCAGCGCTCAGCGTTCCACTGCCCCTGGCCTGTTTGGACCAGTCTCTTAGTGCAGCTGGAGCCTGCTGGCAGGGGGCGCGAGACCCGGTGGTGGTGGTGATGATGATGATGATGAAGTTGATTCATGAGGCCTGGAGACTAAGGGGAACCGGGGTCAGTCGGCGGGGGTGGGGGTGGTCCTCAAGAATGTACCCTTAAAGGTTCAAAGAACACCCCTCCCCGAACACCCACATACACACCCCACACACCCTTGAACATTTCAGTTCAACAAACACTTCTCAAGTCTTGGAAGTTCCAAAGAGCTTTGAAACTCCCTCCCCGACTCCTGCCCCTTCCCCCAGCCGAGCAACTGAGGCATTCACAGGGTCAAATACGTTTAGTGCGCAAAAGCCTTGGCCCTGTTAAAAGTCTCAATTCCCCACCCTTGTCCCCAGCCTCAAACGCAGAGAAGGGCGAAAGGAAAGTACTTGGCCTTTGTGCCCCAAGAGGGCACAGCTTAGTTCCCGTCTTGAACCCATAGGCCCCCTGGGAAGTGCTTAGAATGACACCCTGAAGGCAGCTCCTTCGGGTTTCCAAGGCGGGGCTGCGCCTATTTCTCCCGCACACAGTTTGGGGGCCACAGCCAGTTGGTCGCCCGACCGCTGCGAGGGCTGCCATGGCGTGGTCAAGGCAGCAGGGCAAGGGGTCAACCACGAACCTCCCTTTTGGCAACTAACGGGAAGCCGAGCTGCAACCCGGCAAAGAGAGCTCTTCTTCACCGACTTCCGGGGCGCCGGGCAGGTGCCTGCGGCGTCCTGGCTGCAGCACAGAGAAGGGCGGTCAGGGCCACCTTGGCCGAGAAGCTTTGGGGGCACCAAGACCAAGCTTAGTAGTGGAGATGCTGTTTGCTGTTACCGAGAAGAGGGACAGAGAAGATTTCTTCTAAGAGGGAATGGGAGTGAGAGGTGTCAGATCTCTGCCGAGGCTGCATGGCACTGTACCGTGGGCCACGGGTGAGAGAAGTGGGAACTGGCTCCCAGCCGGTCCGAGGTAGCTGGACCTAAGAAAAAGATCGAAACTCTGGTTCTGCTGCTTGGGATCGGTCGGTGGAGCAGCGATTATATGGTAGAGGCTACAGGGAGGCCGTGCAGCAGATTGGAGGCTCGAACTCCGCAGAGCGCAGAAGGGAAGGGAGTCGCTGGCTGCTGAGGGACTGTTTGCCTCAGTAGCTCCGGAAGTTAGGGATGGGGAAGGATATGAGAGCAGTGATAAGAATCGGACTCCTTCCTGATTCTGGGTCACTTCTCTCTGTGCCTTGGTTTTCCGATTTGTAAACGGAACTTTTTGTTCTACTCCAATAGGGGCATTTGGGAATTCTCCGATTCCCTCCATCCCCACTGAATTGAGCCACTTTGCAGGGCTCTGAAATTTAATTTGGTACTGGACATACAGTCACACTCAAGTTCTGTTTCGCAAAGCAAAACCCTTCGCAGTTTTCTTGAAGCATCTGTTGAATGCTACTGTACGATGCCTCACAGGTGGCGGCGACAGCGCTGCCAAGTCCAAGGATTGTACAACGCTCGCGTCGTTAGAAATGCTTTGTTAGCGAATAGTAATTTATAAATATCGAAAAGAAAAAGTGTCTTCTTTTTAAATAATTAAGCACTCATCTTAAAAATTTACCCGTGTTCTCTTTTTCTATCCCCATGAGCAAGCAATGCTTCATCCTGGCTTGTCTGGCGGGACTTATATTTATTTTGTCGGAGGCTCAGACATTGGTTTTACTAAAAGAAAAAAACGTAAATATTAATCCCTGTAATATGTTCGCCAAGGCACAGTAGACTCTGCCGAGCCGAGAGCCAGAGATAGCATCTGCCGAAGCCAGGGACCTTTTCACTCTCACCGGCTCCCGCGTGAACCGACTTAGAGCCGCTGACCGAAATAACAACAATGATGAGGATAAAGGTGATGATGATAATAATAACAATTATTATTACCACTATCATTACTACTAGTACTACACAACTGGCTCTTTAGTCAGTTCTCTCTTTCTCCTCTAGAAGGGCAAAAGTGCCGAAGGGACCCAGGGCGGAGGCTACTCAGGGAATGGGAAGGTTCCTGGTGCAGCAGCGAAAAAGTTTAGCTAGCCTGGCGGCGGGCAGAAGCGCGCCTGGGCTTCCGAATTCGGGGTGACAAACAGGCAGGCAAGTTCGCCTTGGAGCGGCGCTCGCCGCGGGGCCGGTAACCAAGAAGGCTGAACCCGAGCCGGGGACGGAGCCGGGCTCGGGGCGCCCTGGTCAGCCCGGAGTGCTGACTCCGCTCTCTCGGCCCTGGCGGCGCGTACCGCCTCTTCGGGTTCCCTGGGCGGCCGCCTAGCCTAGCGCTGGCGGATGCGACAGGCTGTAGAGGTTTTGGCAACACTAGCCTGGAAAATATAGTGCACGGAGAAATTTAGCGCGCACTTTAAGATCAGGCAAGCAAACTCAGAGCAAGTACGTGCCGGCGCGCTCTGTCATCGCCTAAGAAGTTTTCTGGAACCCCCGGCTAAAGTGTCCTGGGGAATCAGGCCAAAGTTTTCATGGCTTTCCCTTCCCTTCCTTAGGTCTATGGAAGTTGTCCTTGGAACGAGGAGTCATTTACTGTCCTCGAGTTTGATGCAAATCCCCAGCGCCCCCCAATACAGTTTCCAAAAACTGGCCCGTTTTCTAAAATATAGACATGCTTTTGCAACTTTCGCACCAGGGGGATTTTCCCCACCTCAATACGTACCTTTCCAAAACTACTGACTTAAAAATTCAGGGACACATTAAAGAAGATTGTTACTAAGTAGGAAACAGTTCCTCATCTTTTAAGATTTGGGGAACTTCCTTATAAATAATAGTAACCAACTGGAAAAGTTTAATTCTCAGGGAGCCCTATTTTAACAAACCTAAAAAGTTATAGACTGTGATCGATTTAAAAATGAGTGACCTGGCTCTAGAAAAATACTCCAGGGCAGGTATTTTTGCAGACAAAAGAAACTACACAAAAATTCTACAAGGAGATTCTGCCCCCACCCCCACCCCCGCCCCCTTGTTTACCACAAGACATAAATGCAAGGCATTTTGAGAACTCTGCCACCCTTTTTTTTTTTCAGTTTTAAAGCAGATCCTGAGAGCCAGAGGCTTTTTTGTAATTATACAATTGTATAAAATAATATTTTCAGCATTTCGTATTTTTGCTTAGCTGGAAAAACTCAGGATCATATCCATAATGTGCATCATTGTGGTATGACATACCCTCGATAAACTTTTATAATATTTTACGCAGCAAATTTCTTTTTTACTGTTTCTCAAGCGGGGTCACTGAATGGGAAAAAAATCTTAGATACAGATGGATCATTAAACATGAAGTCTTTTCTAAGTTGATAGGATTATTTTTAATGAAAACAAAGCAGTTGAACTCTATGTGTTGTGTAGGAAGGCAGGGGGCAGTCTCTGACCACGTCAGTCTTTCTCTGAGTGTACCTTCTTTTTGGAAAGATCCCGTTTTAGTGAAAAACAACAATCAACTCTGGTTCTCTGATACCCTCACGGGTGGGAGGAGAAAGAAACTGAAAACCCTTTGGTAGGATTTGGAAGGTCCCATCTACATATTTTCACCACTTCTCAGAATAAAAAGGTATATCAAGATTAAAAATCTATGTTTAATTTTTTCGAAATAAGTGTTATTGAATTAATTTAATTGTATCTGACATTCCTGTGGTTGTGGCTTCTAGTAATCAAATATATATTTTAAAAACGACATTATATACATGTAAGTTTGAGTAGGGAACAGCACGGAATCTAGCAGCCTCACCAAGGAGGAGAAAGAACTGGAAGCTACCTAGATGTCATTTCTTTAGAGAAACATGTGTTGTCATGGAGCACATTCATGCTATGATGAATGCATCTTATATTATAACATGGATTTCACTCTTCCAGCATAGGATGAGAAAGATGGCAGTTAGGACCTTTTGTTTAAATTAAACTAAGATTGAAAGGCCAGGGCAACAGTGATATTTCCTTTATTCCTAGCTCAAGACTACTAGGTCCCCCAACTAGCTTTCTTGCTACCTCCATATCTTATTCTGACTCTTTCAGACAACTTTGATCTCTACTCAACATTTCTGTAGTAATTAGGCCTTTTACCATGCAACAAAACATTTGCTTGAGAGTCATTTCTAAAGTAATGGGCTTGGTTTTCTTGGTCTGTAAAACAATCTTATTATATTATTTCAAATGAGGTACACCAATTGCATTGCTATCCAATTTCTTCTTTTCTTTTTGTAAGAACTGTCTCCTCAACCAAGTTATAAGTATCTCAGGGGCAAGGATTTAGTCATATACTTTTCTTCGCCTCCGTTGTTCTCATCTATCCTAATACTGGGCACAATGGTAACTACTAATTGTTGACACAAAAGAGATTAGGATGAAAGGTCAAGAAGGACGGGACTGCTAAAATGTGAATTTCTCAATGACTGAATATAAATATAGAAGGTATTTTACCAAATTGGCCCATCATGCAAAGAGATCATGAAGGTTTGAACTGACCAAGATGAAACTTAATAGGGATAAATTTGATATGCTGAACTTTGGGTACCAAACATCTCTGCACAAATTTTGGTCACAGAAGAAAACACTGGGTGGATTTTAGTTGGCATCAGGATGAACAGGTCCTCAGTATGATATGATATGTTAGCAAGAAAAACGTAACTTTATCTTGGACTTTTTCAACTTTCATAGAAAGAGTCAGACTATAACTAGGCTCTATTTGGTGCTTCCAGATACATATTTTAAGAATGAAATTAGTAGATTGGAGTTCATCCACGAGAATGTTCAGATCAGTAGGGGACTTGAAGCATGTTATATGATGAACAAGGCCTTTGTATCCTCTGGAAGACAAGACTCTTCGGATACATG